CAACCTTTTTGACACACACACACACACACACAGGGGTGAGAGTGTGACCCTTTGAGCCAGGCTGACACCTCCTCAATAGGGTCTCAATGATTCATCGTCGAAGCAGCCAAGCCACCAGCCCTGGAGCCAGGCAAAGCTTTACCTGAGAACACTTCAATTTATAGTCCAGAGCCCTGGAGATGGAGACTCGTGCTTCATTAGATCAGTCAGTGAGACACTTGGGACTCGAAGTCAGGAATGTGAAAAATGTACAAAGTCAGAGAGAGTATTCCAAAGCCTTCTTACACATCACATGCTCACACACTGCGGAGGGGTAGGGGGGAACCCCACTGACAAAATGGGCTGCGTGTGTGTATGTGTCTGTGTCTATGTGTCTGTGTGTGTGGTGTCTGCATGTGTAGTGTCTGTGTGTCTCACACACTGACAAAATGGGCTATGTGTGACTGTGTGTGTCTGTGTGTGTGGTGGTGGGGGGAAGAGTTCTCTAAACACAGAAGTGGGCTGTGACAGGAGGGGGCACACACTGACGGGGGGTGGGGAGGGGGATGGGAAAGGGGGAAAGAGTGACTAACGACAAGGGGAACTTTCCAGTTCAGTGTTCAACTTGCATTCGACTTTGTATTCTAACCCCCCACCTCCCACCACACTGTGCGCTTCAGATTAAACCTTCCCATTGATTTCATTAACAGTACAGATCAGACTGGATCACTCGCTCAGATTTCCAATTGCAATTCATTCCCTCCCCGCTCCCACCCCAGATCCCCCCCCCCACCCCCGCACACACATTCTTAATCATTTCGCCGTTCAACAGCGGGATACAGCTGGAGCTTTGAACAATTTCTGGCTACATAATTAATTGTAAACCCTTGTACGTGATAGCGTCCCTTTCGCATCAGGAGCTCATTGGAAGCGAATGTGATTTGTGGGTGAACGTAGCAGCCGATTAGCGACGTTCCACAAACAGCCACGGAGTGAGAGAGGGAGGGGGGGAATGACCAGTTTTATCTGGGGGATTGTTGGCCAGGACATCAAGAGAGGGAGAGAAACTTCCTTCTCTTTTCCGATGGGATTTTTAACGTCCACCTGAACAGGCAGACGGGACTTCGATTTAACGTCTCAACCTAAAGCACAGCACCTCAGACAACGCGACCCCCCCCCCCCCCAGCGCTGTATTGGAGAGTGAGCTTAGACTACGCAAGCTCAACGTCCCAACGTGGAGGCTTGAACCCACAACCTTCAGCCTCAGTGGAGAGAGAGAGCTGTCGATCGAATACCCCAATATGGTAACGTAAAAAGACAAAGGCAAAACCGATGAAAGAAAGACATGAAGGAGTCTAGACGTGTGACTCATTAGTGAGAGTTGGTCACTGTGGATGGTTCTTGTTGACACCAAAATAAACACGTTCAAAAATTCCTGCAGAAGCCTCGTTTTACCGCAGGAGATTAAACCCCGAAGAGAGACCGAGGAAACTGGAGAATAATAATAATAATCCTTGCATTTGATATAGCACTTTATGGCAGTGAGACATCTCAAATCGCTTCACAGGATATACCATAAAGTGTAGTGACTTTGTATTTTTTGGGGTGGGGGGGGGGTGAAACGCAGCAGCTGAATGCACACAGCAGTGTCCCACAAAAGTCGTGGATTGAGCCACCAAATTATTATTATTGTTATTGTTTATAAATAAGTGATTTTGCCCACAAAATAGCCAATCGATCCACTTTACAGCACAGAATATCCTTAAGAAGCACTGTGAGACGTCTCGACGACTTGATAAGATGCTAATACCGTTATTCAATAACTGCGCAACAGAATTCACAGGGTGTGTGAGAAACCCGGACTCGCACACGCAGCCCTTGGGGAGTCCCAATGGGCAGCTTAATGGAGAGGTGCTAAATGCTCAAACAATCCCAAATCCTGGAGTGAATCAAGTGCAGCTTTTAAGAGACTGGAAACAGCGACAGCCTTTCGTTCCAAGATTTCCCACAAGCAATGAGAGCTGTGATCCTTACAGAAACCACTCTCTCTCTCTCAGCAGAACACACTTTTCCCAGATTATTAGCTATATATATATATTTTGGTCGCAGATGCTGAAGGGCAAATAAAATAAAAGGGGAAGCTTATTCGGATCACTGGCAAGAAATAAGAGAGGGGAAGAGAGAGCGAGAGAGAGAGAGAATAGAGAGAGGGAGAGAGACAGCAACAGACAGAGAGAAAGAGAAACAGACACAGAGAGAGAGAGAGAGAGAGGGAGGGAGACAGCAATACATAGAGAGAGAGAGACAGAGAGAGAGAGGGAGGGAGACAGCAATACATAGAGAGAGAGAGACAGAGAGAGAGAGGGAGGGAGACAGCAATACATAGAGAGAGAGAGAGAGAGACAGAGAGAGAGAGGGAGGAAGACAGCAATACATAGAGAGAGAGAGACACAGAGAGAGAGGGAGGGAGACAGCAATACATAGAGAGAGAGAGAGAGAGACAGAGAGAGAGAGGGAGGAAGACAGCAATACATAGAGAGAGACACAGAGAGAGAGGGAGGGAGACAGAGAGAAACACAGAGAGAGAGGGTAACAGAGAGAGAGACAGAGAGAGAAAAACACAGAGAGGGCAACAGAGAATGAGACAGAGATCAAACCCACTTTAGCGAATAGCGAATGCTGGGCGCGTTATAGACACTGCTGACCCCCAGGGTACACAAGGGGAGATGTATGTAATGTTCTCCTGACCTAACTCCAAGCCAAGTCACCCCCTCCCCTCCTGTACCTGCAAACATTTACCCCTCACACCTTCCTCCCCCCACACCAAACAGACCAACCAAACCAGAGTGTGCAAACACACCCCTCGTTTTCCCATCATCTCGACAGTTTGCGCCTTTCGTCGCATTCCCATATATATATATATATATACTGCGTAGTGCTGTTACACATATATTTATGTGTGTGTGTGGGTGTGTCCTCACTGGACTCCCATTTAAACCCTTTCACAGGCAACAAATCCCTCTAAACACACACTCACACTTACTCAAACATATACACATTCATTCACTCTCACAAACACACTCACACACTCACTCACACACACTCACTCACACACTCAAATCACTCACACACTCACTCAATCACTCACACTCACTCACAAACACACTCACACTCACACACACTCACTCACACACTCAAACAGTCACTCACACACTCAATCACACACACTCACTCACAAACACACTCACACTCACTCACAAACACACTCACACACACACTCAATCACTCACACTCACTCACTCACACACACACTCACACTCTATACCCCCCCCCCCCCCCCCCCCCCGGTTCATATCAATATTCTATTGTGAAGTGTTTTTTTAAATGAATGTATATCTATATACTATACACACAACACACGTATATATATATATACACACACACACATACACACACACACACACATACACACACACACATACACACACAGATGGACCAACACGTCGTGATTATAATGTCTAATAAGTCTTAAAGAAACAATGATTTGTTTTCAGATTATAGGGTGGAGGGATGTCACGACTTTTGGGTCACCCGTGAACATAAATGTGTATAAATATACGATGCATATACACACACGTTTATACACATACACACACGTTTATACACATACACACACGTTTATACACATACACACACGTTTATACACATACACACACTGTCTTTATACAGAAATCCGAGTCAGGAACTGACTAATTGTTCTGTAAAGCGCATTTTCAAACGAAATCTACAAATTGCACAGTTTCAATGGAATCTAATCGGATTTTTTTTGGCCACAACTGGTGTGTCGGTGTTGGACATTGGGAGGGGGGGGGGGGGGGGCTGTAATAAAAACATAACAGAATAAGGAGAAAGATAGAGAGAGAGATGGAGAGAGATGGAGAGAGAGAGAGATACTTCAGTCGGAATACAGTGGCTTTTTTAAAAAAGAATAAAAAAAATGAAATGCCATAGTTTTCAGAGCCCCCAAACCCCAGTGAATCTGCACAACTAACACCGCAATTTCAATAGCAAATAGCGAAAGGGGTTGAACGGGAGCGATTCGCTACGATTGTGGAAATCACCTCCACATAATAATCAATGCTCAATTATTGTATCAGAGACTCACAGTGAGAGAGAGAGACACAGACACACAGACAGACAGACAGACACACACACAGACATACAGAGACACACAGACAGACAGACACAGACAGACAGAGACACACACACAGAGACACAGACACACACAGACAGAGACACACACACACACACAGACAGAGACATAGACACACACAGGTAGAGAGAGAGACACAGACACACAGACAGACACACACACACATACACACACACAGACAGACAGAGACACAGACAGCCACACACACACACAGGTAGAGAGAGAGACACAGACACACAGACAGACAGAGACACACACACAGACAGACAGACAGACACACACACAGACAGACAGAGACACACACACACAGACAGACACAGACAGAGACACACATACACACAGGGAGAGAGAGACTCAGACACACAGACACACAGACATAGACACAGACAGACAGACACACACACACAGGTAGAGAGAGAGACACAGACAGACAGAGACACACACACACACAGACAGACAGACAGACGCACACAGACAGACAGACAGACAGACACACAGACAGACACACACACACACAGACAGAGACACAGACAGAGACACACATACACACAGGGAGAGAGAGACACAGACAGACAGACAGACAGACACAGACAGACACACAGACATAGACACACACACACACACAGGGAGAGACAGAGGGATAAAGAGGGAGGAAGAGACCAGAGAGATAGAGGGAGAGAGATACCCACAGACAGAGACAGAGAGGAGACAGTCACAGAGAGACAGAGGGAGAGGGAGAGAGAGAGAGAGAAAAAGAGAAAGGGAGAGACACAAATAGAAAGAGAGAGAGTTGCAAAGCTTTTGTTACCTTTTAAGCGTCCCCCGGACTGTGGCTGTGGGTGTGGAGTGTAGTGACTGTGGAGGAAGGACAGATCCGGTGTCTACTCTGTGCCGATGGACACAGAGAGAGAGAGAGAGAGAGAGCGGCAGAAAGCGCAGGAATGCGCGCGTTCACCATCTGCGGACTCCACACTCCCCACTCCGTCCCCTTCCCCTCACACACCTGTCCCCCCCCGGGGAGAGGCTCCGGGTGTGGGGGGTGTTGTCTCTCTGTGTGTTGTCTGTGTGTGTGTTGTCTGTCTGTGTGTGGTGGTGTCTGTCTGTGTGGTGGTGTCTGTGTGTGTCTGTGTGTGTTGTCTGTCTGTCTGTGTGGTGGTGTCTGTCTGTGTGTGTCTGTGTGGTGGTGTCTGTGTGGTGGTGTCTGTCTGTGTGTTGTCTGTGTGGTGGTGTCTGTCTGTGTGTTGTCTGTGTGGTGGTGTCTGTGTGTGTTGTCTGTCTGTCTGTGTGGTGGTGTCTGTCTGTGTGTGTCTGTGTGGTGGTGTCTGTGGTGGTGTCTGTGTGTGTCTGTGTGTGTGTGTGTGTTGTCTGTCTGTCTGTGGTGGTGTCTGTGTGTTGTCTGTGTGTGTGTCTGTGTGTTGTCTGTCTGTCTGTCTGTCTGTCTGTGTGTGTGTGTGTGTTGTCTGTGTGTGTGTGTGTGTGTTGTCTGTCTGTCTGTGGTGGTGTCTGTGTGTTGTCTGTCTGTCTGTCTGTCTGTCTGTCTGTGTGTGTGTGTGTGTTGTCTGTGTGTGTGTGTGTGTTGTCTGTGTGTGTGTGTGTGTTGTCTGTCTGTCTGTGTGGTGGTGTCTGTCTGTGTGTGTCTGTGTGGTGGTGTCTGTGTGGTGGTGTCTGTCTGTGTGTTGTCTGTGTGGTGGTGTCTGTGTGTGTCTGTGTGGTGGTGTCTGTGTGGTGGTGTCTGTGTGTGTCTGTGTGTGGTGTCTGTGTGGTGGTGTCTGTGTGTGTCTGTGTGTTGTCTGTCTGTGTGTGTGTGTGTGTTGGGGTTTGAGAGGTGTGTGTAGCGTTTGTCCAATTCCTATCGACAATGGCTGTGGTCCTTCTGGAGGTGATGTACCTGTGTCTCCGCTCTCAACACACAGGGACTCTCCCCTCTCCCTCCTTCCCCCTCTCTCTCTCTCTCTCTCTCCCTCACTCTCTCCTTCTCTCTCTCTCCCCTTCTCTGTGTCTCAGTCCCTCTCTCGGACCCTGTGAACCACTGTCACACTCCAGAGCCCTTTCCCACCTCATCCCCCACTGTATAATGCGATATCAGGAACACACACACAGTGCCTTCGCTCATCACAGTCACTCTCTTAACAGCAGCCGCTGGCAACCCACAAACCCCGACCTGGAGCCTTCTGCCTGGACCTGGACTGTCATAGATTATCCTCCCCCCCCCCCCCCACACCCCCCCCCATACACACACACATACACACACACACACACGTGTGATATACAGTGTATGTATAAAGCTGTTTTATTCCTTTAGTGTTTTGCTCCCTCCCTCTCTCTCTCTCTCTCTCTGCCCTCCTTCGAAGCACATTCCGACACCCTCCCTCCTCTTCGGCCGCGCACTCGGCCGCCCTCGCTTCAACAACGACAACAACTTGGATTTATATCGCGCCCTCCACGCCGGACGGCGTCTCAGAGTGCATTACAGTAACGGATCCCGGGGGCCGAGCCGGGGGGGGGTGGGGTGGCGGGGAGGGGAAGGAGCTGCGGGGGGAGGGGGAGAGGGGGTGAGTCAGGGGAAGGGGAGGAAGGTGACCAAAGGTGCGGTCGAAAAGAAAGGTCTTCAGCCGAGACCTGAAACTAGGAAAAGGGGGGGCGAGGGGAAGGGAGTGAGGAAGGGAGCTCCAGAGCCTCGGGGCGCAGTGGCTGAAGGCACGGCCGCCGAGGGGGGAGCGGAGGACTCGGGGGACGAGGAGGAGGCCAGACCCGGAGGAATGAAGGCAATGGGTACTGTTTTGAGGAGAGAGGAGGTCAGAGAGGTCGGGGGGTGCAGAGGAGTGCAGGGACTTGAATACGAGGTGAGGATCTTGAAGTGGATCCTCTCTGGGACAGGAGTCAGTGCAGTCTGGACAGGACTGGGGGGATCGGGGAGAGGGGTTTGAGGGAGGGGGGAGGGCCAGGACTGGGGGGATCGGGGAGAGGGGTTTGAGGGAGGGGGGAGGGCCAGGACTGGGGGGATCGGGAAGAGGGGTTTGGGGGAGGGGGGGGAGGGCCAGGACTGGGGGGATCGGGGAGAGGGGTTTGGGGGTGTGACGGAGGGCCAGGACTGGGGGGATCAGGGAGAGGGGTTTGGGGGTGTGGGGAGGGCCAGGACTGGGGGGATCAGGGAGAGGGGTTTGGGGGTGTGGGGGAGGGCCAGGACTGGGGGGATCAGGGAGAGGGGTTTGGGGGTGTGGGGGAGGACCAGGACTGGGGGGATCGGGGAGAGGGGTTTAGCTCGGGTGAGAATGCGGTGGCAGAGTTTTGTATGACTTGAATTTTATGGATGGTAGTGGAGGGGAGGCCGGCGAGGAGGGTGTTAGAGTAGTCCAGCTTCCTACCCCTGCCCTCCGCGCCCTGCGTGAGCTGTGCTGACCAACCGAGATCGGTTACAGTCAGATCAATGGCCCCCTCCCATCCCCGCACCCACCCACCCCCCCCCCCCCCCGGAACATTGTCTGCTAAACTTCACCAACCCGTCCGCTCCCTCCGCCATTGCAGGCACTGCAGCGTTCCCACCCACCCCACCAACCCCCAACCTCGCGCCCTCTGGAACTCCAGCCCGGAGCCCCAATGCCTCACCCCACCCACCCCAACCCTTCTTCCCCCCCCCCCCACTTGCCTCCCTCAAGCCTTTCTGCACGTGTCAGACCCCCGGACGCCCAAAACTAAACAGAGGAACTTCCAACGGTTTTCTGCGATAGAGTCATGGCCTTCGCCCACCACTCCTTCTGACTCCAACGCTGCCGCGTTTCGCCCACAAAATACAGAGTCGATTCGCTTTACAGTGTATCCTGTGAAGGGCTTTGAGACGTCTCAAAGACGTGATGAGGCGCTGTGTCAAATGTGAGGATTAATAATATTATCATTGCTGTTTTTGGCCAGGCGCACTTGGCACTGTGATCTTGAGCCGCTCGCTTTGTCAGGAGATCTCAGCACAGCGTTTCATAAATGGCAATAACCTATTGCTTACAGCAGAGGTGAATGTTTTCACAGTGTGGTTCTGGCGAGACTCAGGTTGCTGAGGCGTTTAACATCCATTTGCTGAAGAAGGCTTATGGATCTGTTTGCATGAGTGGTGCATTATGCAGCAGTGGCCTCCCCCGCGCGCGCTCTGCCCGGGAATCGAACCCGGGTCCTCTCGCTGGCTAACGCATGAACCACTGAGCTACAGGACTCCACGTTAATGCTGGAAATGAATGATTCTCTCATTACACCCAGTGTCAGTGCCCAGCTCTACCACATCAGGTAGACATCACCAGTCAGTGTCCTTCTGCACAGCCCCAACGAGGCACATGGACTCCAACTTCCGAAGTGCGCTCCCTACTGCACAGGTGTAATATTTTGTAATAGTTGTTGTTGTTTGTGTCAGACCGGTGCAGTCAGTGGCACTCTCGCCTCTGGATTGAGAGTCCAGGCTGACATTCCAGTGCAGTCCTGGGGGAGGGGGGTGGGTGGGGGGGTTGGGGGCTGCATAATAATCCTTGCATTTGATATAATGCCTTATCATGTCTTGAAGACATCCAGGCCTGGCCCAGGTGACCAGATCGAATAAAATTCAATGTGGCCCAGATTTGTGTGTAAAAAAATCTTAAATTCAGGCTCAATTTGGAAGCTGGTCGCTAAAATAATGGGTCTTTCGCCCCACGGCTGACTGTGGGGCCTCGCTGTAACCAAACAAGATAAGGTTACAGGCGAAAACCAGGGGGGATTTTGCAGCTTTAAGTGCTCTCGAACTTTGATGAAGATATCATCTTGCGAAGTCCTGTAGCTCAGCGGTTAGACCATTCGCCTCGCAAGCGAGAGGACCCGGGTGTCAACAGTTGTCAACAATTACACAGTCACTACACTGTGCAATGAATCCTGCGAAGCCCTTTGAGACCTTTCTCCAATGAGACAAGACGCTGTGTCAAATGTGAGGATCATTATTACTTTTGCAAGAACTGTGGAAAATTGGCTTCCGAATTAAGACTGGATTGAGGAATTTTTTTTCATAATCCTGCAAGATCTGAAAATTAAAGTCAAGATAATGTTACAGGCGAAAACCAGGGGGAAGTTTGCAGCTTTAAGTGCTCTCGCAATTTGATGAAGATATCATCTTGTGAAATCCTGTAGCTCAGCGGTTAGACCATTCTCCTCGCAAGCGAGAGGACCCGGGTTCGATTCCCGGGCAGGGCGAAACCTTACGCAAGTTTCCTTACTCCACACGACTCTGTCTGCCTCGCAGAAATCCAGTTGTTAGACGATTGGCAGATTGCTTTACCGGGGATAATAGTCTGTTTAAAAAAAATTTGATCACTGAATCACTGCGCAATTGGCTGCCGCGTTTCACCCACAAAACAAACAGTCAATTCACTTTACAGTCTATCCTGTGAAACGCTTTGAGGAGTCTCGAAGACATGATAAGGCGCTGTATTAAATGCACGGATTATTATTATTATTATTTCAGATTGGATCGCAGCACGTTTTCTCTTCAAAAAATCTGTTAAGAAATGCCAACATTCAGACCCGAAACCGCCGCGGGAGGGTAGAAATTCCTTTCAAGGCTGTGGTGAAGGAGCCGCTACAAATGGATCACCAGAAGCCGTTGCGAGTTACTTCGAACGGAATTTCTACCCGAAGGATTCACGCAACAAAGCGTTGGGACCGTAACCGATGAGTTAACGTCGCGCTGCACAGCAATGGCAGGTAAGAGTGTTTGCTTTATTAACACATCTGGAAGTTATGCCTTCGCCTGTGGGAATCACATCGATGGCATGAAAAGAACAAAAACGACGGCAATTTTATTAAACTGTGTCAACCCGCTCTCAGATATATGTCAAGCCCTTCGCATTTTTGAATAGGAAATGTGCTGTGATTCCCACGACTGAGGTTTTGGTGGGCTGCGGTGTGAGAGAGTGGCGGAGCCGGGAGAAGTTGCGGAGGTTGGGGAAGGCAGAGCGGGTCATGGCACAGATGTAGGGTAGAAAGGATAGTTGAGGGTCA